ACCCACTTATATCTCGCTTCCTTCGTGGCACCTTGAGGCTGAGGCCTGCAGTTCGCACGAGGGTCCCAGCTTGGGATCTGGCCATCATCTTAGAAGGTCTCTCCCTTGCTCCTTTCGAGCCCATCGAGGACGTTTCGGAAAAGTTTCTTACTCTAAAGACTATCCTTCTTCTCGCTATCTCATCTCTAAAAAGAATTGGAGATATTCAAGCACATTCGGTGGCTCCCTCGTGCCTGGAATTTGCTCCTGGTATGGTTAAGGCCTTTCTCTGTCCGAGACCAGGTTATGTTCCTAAGGTGCCAACTACTTTTGTTAGACCTGTAGTTCTGCAGGCTTTCTGTCCTCCGCCTTTTCTGACGTCAGACCAGAAGAAACTTAATTTGCTGTGCCCTGTTAGGGCTTTAGATGCTTATGTCCACAGAGCTGCCCTGTGGAGGAGATCGGAACAACTGTTTGTCTGTTTTGGGTCACCTAAGAAAGGGTGTCCTGCATCTAAGCAAAGGATGAGCAAGTGGGTGGTCGAGGCCATCTCGCTTGCTTACGGTTCGGCCCATCAGCCTTCACCTTTGGCTGTAAGGGCTCATTCCACCAGGAGTATGGCTGCCTCTACAGCTCTTCTTTCAGAAGCTTCTCTTCAGGACGTTTATGATGCGGCAGGCTGGTCCTCACCGCACACTTTCGTCAGATTTTATTCCCTTGACCTTAGCTCCACTCCAGGGGCTCAGGTTCTCTCGTCGGTTTGTGTCTCCTGATGACACAAGACGGGGATTTGGTCGTATGGGGATGTGGGTATTGCGTTCCCACTGCGATTACACGCAGCGGTAGTCCCTGAAGGGGAACGTCCCGGGTTACGTATGTAACCCTAGTTCCCCGAAGGGACGGACGCTGCGTGTCCTGCCATACTCTCGGCATCCCCTTGGGTCGCTGCTTCAGTAACTTTTAAGCTGGCGTATTGTGTGCTCAGGGGATATTTATAGCTTCCTGGTCGATGACGTCACTCGCCGTACGCTCATTCTCTCCATTGACTGATTTCATTCATGCTTCAGACGCGTCACGCTGAGGGCGTTCCCACTGCGATTACACGCAGCGTCCGTCCCTTCGGGGAACTAGGGTTACATACGTAACCCGGGACGTTTAACATCGTTAGAATTAAAATCTGACAAAAATAGATTCTGTCATTTGTATGTTAAATAATCTGCTAAAGTTATTGTTTTTTAGCAATGATGCAACATTTATTATTAATAAACGATTAGCTCGATAGAGCTAGGGTAGGTAGATATCAATTCATTTATATATCAATGGATGGGTCTATAATGTATTTTGACAGGTTTCTGTTCTATCTGGCTTCAACTTAACTAACCACGTAGGTTTAGCTTCCCCTATCTTCTCTACTCAATTTAAAATTAATTTTAATTTTCTTTTGTTGCCTGTCTTTAGCTTGGCCTCTTCTGGTAAGACTCTGTTTACTCATTGCATTAAAACATACTCCACATGGTTTATAGAGCAATATTACAGTAGATAATGGAAATATGTGAATTTTATTTACAGTCTATGGTGTGAACACACAAAAGACACATTTATAATAGGTATGTAAATCTCTCTCTCTCTAAGTAAAGAGTTAAACTGCACACTCACTCAAATACGTTAAAACACATTAAAAACTTTCCCCATTTAGTTTGAATGTAGATTCTGGTTTGAGTTGTTTCTTATAAATGAGATGATCTAATTATCTCATTTATATCTTAATATACATTTTTTCTTAAAATAGCTTATACATCTGGACTCAAATGTAGGGTATGTGCACTTAATGTGGGTTTTATCATACTCTGTCTTTACCAACTTCTCTTTAACTTGGATCTCATAAAGGTGTGTTTGCTTTAGCTACTTAAGGAAATACACACACACACACAGTTAAAGAAGAGTGGCAAACCATAGGGGAGTCATCATAATTCATAAATGGTGTTAATAAATATTTTTTTGTGAACAACAATATTGTCTATATCTTCTAAATGGCCCATGGAATTTTAGAAAAGGGATAAATTGTGTTTGTCTTCATATAAAATGCTGTGTATGACACTGTTTTGTAGCTGTATGATGACCAATATAATAGTACAGCAGATATTTCATCGAGGATCCATATTATTACACGGTACTGCATGTCTAATGGGCCAAATATAGTTAATATCTAAATGTGACTTTATATAAATTCCCAAAAATATAGTTCACTCAGTCTCCTGTATATAAAAACCTACGGTGAATTGGCCTATAACTGCAGTAGGTCATAGCATCACCTGTCATAACACATAGTTGATCCAACTATGTGTATTTTTTATTTTTCAATTCACAAAAACAAATAGTCTTCTGTAGGTTGAGTGAAGAGAGTGAAGCCCAACTGAATATCTACAGATAATTTAATCAGTGCAGATCTACACTGTAACGTTTATATTTAAATTAACAAAAAACACAAAATTGTCAAGTCTATGGACGGGTTATTAATGTGTAAGCGTCGATTTATTTATGTTATTTCGCAGTATATCCCCTACTGGACGCATCAGGAACAACAGGGGCGTAAAACTGCCAGGGGCGTATATCTGCCGGCTCCAGGTCTGCAGCCTCCCCATATAGGTATTTCATGGCAGACTGTGTCAAAAGCAGAAGAGCAGTTTCAGTGCTATGAGATGGGCGAAATCCTGACTTAAAAGTTTCAAAAAGACCATTAACATCCAAATATGATCACAATAGCGAAGCAACAACCTTTTCAAGGATTTTGCTTAGAAATGTTAAATTGGATATTGGTCTGTAACTGTCCATGTTTAGATGACTATTACCGCCACCTACTGTACAGACTACATGGCTGATGCATCTGTATATTCTTTTGTTTATTTTGTTTATTTGTGGATGTAATGCCTCACCCACCTTCTGCTGGCGCTGCGTGTTCAGCTCCTCCAACGTCCGCCCTGGGCTCCTCAACCTTCAAGGTGGGCAGAAGTATCATAATCCCCATGCATTATATCCTATGCTCTAATCCTGTATTCTTTAAACAGGTTAAAACAGCCCCATATATCTGAGAATCTCTCAATCCCTTTCCCAAGATGTCCGTGACATTTACTGGTCCATCCTTTATATTATTAAATAAACCACTTCGTTGATCATCATATTTGTTAAATTTAAAAAATACATGCTATACTGTTTCTAAAACATCATATTCATCATACCATTTTCATGCTTCCCCATTCTTGCAAGTGTTGAATTTTATTCTTTCTGTAATCCAGTGTGTCCTAATCTTAATCTAGAGATCATCGCTTCTTCCTTTCTGTACCTTCCATAACAACGGTTCTATACTGATTTTGCAATATTATAATAACATCTCCCTGTGATACTATGCACCTTTGTTGCCATTTATTTACTAGTTTCTTTTTAATCAATGATTTTTAATCAACAATTTTAACTCACTTCTCCCCAGTGGTACTTTTATATCCACCAAGTTTTTCTTTAACACCTTTTGTGCTAATTTATCAGCGGTTTCATTTCCTGCTATCCCACTGCAGTGCTGGTATCCAACAAAAGGACATTATTATACCCTCAGTATTTCAATCTATACAATAATGTATATCTTTATTAAATCTTCTCTGTCACTTCTTGTAGACATTTTCAGAGCGACCGATGAAACTCCAGCATCTAGTAGACTCACTCAGACAACATCATCTCATCATTATGTGAACACACACATAAATACGGCATGCACTTATTCAAGTGCTGATGCAATTAAGATACAATTTATACTAAACGAAATTCACTTTAAAGAAAGGCTTTATACAAAACAAAACTTAATGAAGAAGTGGTCAAAATGATGCCTCCCGATATATTGCTCATCTTATGATTACTCATGCTGCATGAAATCGATTAAGGTTATGATAATTACATAAATAATATCTATATCATACAAAATTATCATTCTATAAGTTATTATATAAGCATCAGGCTACTAAAAGCCAGACAATTTTGTCTATACAAATCATTTGCTATTGCCTTTGATTTGGAGTAGAAACAGGTGGAGTGACTTTATCGCATCAGACGTGTCACTTTGCTCACAGCTGATTGGTCCAAGTTTGGTTTGCTACTGAGCCTCAAGATATCAACTCATAGCTGGATCCACCAGGACTTCTAAAAGTGAAATAACAGGATTTGCATGTTTGTGGGAAAGTCGTGCTTTGTTTGAACAATGGAGGGAGAGGGCTCGTTTGATTAGCAGTCACATGATCACTGTTCATTTTCCTGCATGTACTGTGTTTGTTTTATTCCATTCAGCCAGAGAAAGATGTAGAAATCCAAATGACAAACTTCACAGAATAATGTCTGGAGCTCACACAGCTAAATTAAAATATTGATTCATTCATTTGCAACTTGCAAACATCAGCTACATTCATGCTATTTTATTTTAAAATATTCATAAACATAAAACACTGACATAAAACACATATTAAAAAGTAGATTTGGAAGAGGAAGAAAAATATATAGTTCTTAAGTAAATAAATAGAAATGTAACTCTTTATTCTTTTTAAAGAAAAATAAATAAATCTCATCTTTGAAGTTTTATAGTATTTTGCAGAGTTAGACACATTACAATGATTTTGTTTCTTTAAACGTTTTTGTAGATTTAGCTTGTTATCCCCACATTTGTATGTGTATTTCTACCTGTTTTCAGGAGACACATTTATATACCTTTGGTCTGATGCTTGACCTTTAAAACTGAATTAACTTATTTTTACATTTCAAACCTATTCATTGGAGTAGCTACTTGCCAGACTAATATGACAAAGCACTAAAACAGTAAACATCAGTTGGGCACGGCCCAAAACATACAGTAGTTCTGAAACATCTTTCTCTTTAGGTGTCAAAGTGCAGCCAAAGTGTGACGCTGCCATATAGTTTATTTTAAATTTTTTTTACAGTATGAGGGAGTGTAGAGACACTTCCTGAGTCCGTCTCACACACACAAACACAGGGACTTTGAACGACAAGCACTAACTGCGAGAGACATGATGGCATCAGCAGATAAAGGTCAGTCTAAGTTAAATAACCTAATGTGAAACTGCTAATTTAATACCATACTGAGAAATTAATCATATAATGTGCTTTTTGTTGCTGGTAGTTGACAGCATTAAACAGTAAATCAGAAAGGAAATAGTGAAGATAATCTACATTAGCATTTAGTCGCCATTTCACAACCTTTCTACTATTCAGTTCTACTAATTCATTGTATAAAATATATTTGTATACAAGTAGAATATCGTGATTCAAATACATTTATTTGATCATGACCCCCCCCCCAATAAAAGGAAGGAGGACATGTATATAATTTCACCACATTTGATTAGGCCTATGCAATTATTTGTTAATTATGTTTAAATATGTAGATTGTAGATATTTATATAAGCTGCTTATACTTTTATGTAAACTGCAATTATTTATATTTCATTGCAACTTTAAACAGGTCTAAGGAGTTTGTTGTTTTCGTGTAGCCTTGGTAACTTTCCGGCCTGAATAATATGCACATGAAATGAAACTTGAACTCACCTTAACATGTATTTTACAATCATATAACCAGAGGTGGGTAATCCAGGAGTCAAAGAGTAAAGGTGTGTTCAACATCGGCTGCATATGAGGCGCCACGTAGGATTTAAATCAAACTTCGCTTATCAATACATGCATACACCTATAAATTACTCGCATATACATGTATACTATTGGATGTTCAAAATACATATATGAAATACACGTGCACACTAACATGAAATTCATACCAATACATATTATGTTAGTAATGAATGCATATAAACTTGTGAATAACTTGCATATACATATAAACTTGACGCACGCATACACCTATAAATACTCGCATATATAAACTTCCATGCCCATACACCTATAAACACTCGTACATATACACTCGCTGCACGCAGACACACCTACACTCGCATATACATATAAACTTCCATGCAGACACACCTATAAACACTCGCACATAAACCTGATGCGCGCATACACATCCATAAAACACTCGTGCATACATACAAAATAAAACGTGGATGCATGCTTTAGTTGTGTATATATGTATATGCGAGTGATTTCATTTGTGGATGTGCGTGAACTTTTCAGTGTAAAAGGAAGTCAGTTATTCTTCTTCTTCTTCTTTTGGAGTTTTATGGCGGTTGGCAAACCAGCTAAAAGGTGCATTTACCGCCACCAACTGGACAGGAGTGTGAAGCGTCAACACAGGGGGTGCAGAGATATCACGCAACACCTGAAATAAAGCTTGCCACAAAGAACCTTTCTTTTACTGTCTATGCAAAGAACCGGCGAAAGTAATGATTATGCATGAAACATTTGAATGGTTGATAAAGTTCATAAATCAATGCAGACTCGCCATCTTCGCTGTAGTGAACGCGCCTAGAGAGAGAAATGCACACTTCATATGAATTAGCCACATGCATTAACAGAGAGTAGCCAATTTCTTTTAGTTTTTAATTGTTTTGTTTAAAAGTACACATTTCAAGCTTTCTATAGATATACAGGTCTGTGATGCAAGTAGTTTATACGCTGAGTTTATTTACACGCTCCAATTCACGCGCCGGCGCCTCCGTGTCCTGATCACTGTCCACTATATTTGCTTCTTATTTATTAATCCAGACAAATTTGTTGATGAAAACTAAAGCGTTTTATTTTGTATGTATGCGGGAGTGTTTTATGGATGTGTATGCGCACATCGGGTTTATGTGCGAGTGTTTATTGGTGTGTCTGCATGAAAGTTTATATGTATATGCGAGTGTGTATAGGTGTGTCTGCGTGCAGCGAGTTTATATGTATGTGCGAGTGTTTATAGGTGTTTGTGCATGGAAGTTTATATGTATATGCGAGTGTGTATAGGTGTGTCTGCGTGCAGCGAGTTTATATGTATGTGCGAGTGTTTATAGGTGTATGTGCATGGAAGTTTATATGTATATGCGAGTGTGTATAGGTGTGTCTGCGTGCAGCGAGTTTATATGCATATGCGAGTATTTATAGGTGTATGCGTGCGTCAAGTTTATATGTATATGCAAGTTATTCACAAGTTTATATGCATTCATTACTAACATAATATGTATTGGTATGAATTTCATATTAGTGTGCACGTGTATTTCATATATGTATTTTGAACATCCAATAGTATACATGCGAGTAATTTATAGGTGTATATGCACGTGTGTTATGCATTTATTGATAAGCAAAGTTTGATTTAAATCCTACGTGGCGCCTCATACTATGGACATTATTCAGAATTACCTTTTCTTCTCACATACACATATGAAACCAAATTCATTCACATACTATACTGAAATGCTCACACACATACAAGTGAAATGCTTTTACAAATACAACTGAAATGCTCTCTTACTTACAACTGAAAATATTACGCTCACACACACAACTGAAATGCTCACACACACACAACTAAAATGCTCTCATACATACAACTGAAATGCTCTCATACAACTGAAAATATTATGCTCACACACACACACAGCTGAAATGCTCTCACACACTCAACTGAAATGCTCACACACATACAACTGAAATGATCACACACACACAACTGAAATGCTCAAACATGTGTTTTTTAGCTACCCACTCCAGTCCAGTTGGTGGCAGTAGTGCACTGCAAGCAACCGTAGTTGACCGTTCGTTCACCTGCCAATCGCGCTACACCAATGTCTGCATTTGACAGGGTTCTGATGGTCTCCGCTGAGGCCAATATGGTGTTCAGCAAGCCTGCTGCCTCGGTTAATGTTCTTTGCTGTTGAGCAGACATTGGTGTAGCGTTATTGGCGGGCCAACGAACGGTTAACTGCGGTCACTTGTATTGTGAAAGTCGTGCTTTTCTACTATGCTTTCTTTCAACAGCTTTTAGTTCTTCGTCTTGAGATTTGGCACCATTTGAGTCGACTGCTTTGTGCTTTGTACTATACATTTTTACTTGATAACAGTTATGGCGCTTTTCCACTGCATGGTACGGTACGGCACGCTTTGGCGCTTTTCCACTGCATGGTACGGCACGGTACGGCTCGCTTCGGCTCGCTTTAAATGGTACCACCTCTGTCGAGGTTCCCAGCGTACCGTACCGATACTAAAATGTGACGTGAACACACTGCAGATCACTGATTGGTCAGACAGAATCGTCACTACCAGCGTCATTGTATTTGCGAGACATCAAACCCGCTAGATTTAAGAACCGGCAAAAGTAATGATTATGAATATGTAAATATAGCAAGGAGATATTTTAATTGTTTATTAATAAACAAGTGTTTTCTTTGTCGGCTAAGATGAAGTTGACGATGCTGAGTGACTCGCGATCTTCAGTAGTGAACGCGCCAGAGAGAAATGCACATTTCTTAAGGATTACATAAGCAGAGATCAGTCTGTAGTCTGTTTTCTTTCGTTTTGAATTGTTCTGTTTAAAAGTAGACACGTGAGGCAAGTAGGCTACCTTATATGCTGAGTTTGGTTCATTTATGTGACGAGCTCCAGTTCACACGCCGGCGCCTCCGTTTCCTATATATCGTCTGCTATATTTACTTCTTATTTATCAAATCCAGGCAATTGGTTGATGAAACATTGATTAAAATTAATATACAATTAATACAAAACGAAATTCAGGTTAAAGAAAGGTTTTGTGCTTTCTGTTTGATGTGTCTGTAAAAGTTTTAAAGCATCTTAGTGCCGCTTTCAGAGCGCTCCCGTCCGTAACGGAGAACACGTCCGTAACATTGTTTTTTCCTCATAAATGCGAACACGAAAAATAAAATAAAATAAAATGACTATTTTATGTACTGTGGAGACTGAGAGCCAACCCTTCTTCATCCGGTGGGTAGTAGGCATATTACTTTGGTTTGCGCAGTGTAATTCACATAATCACAAAAAAATATTTTGCCTCCAAGTTTTTTTTTTTTAAGCAATCAGAAATCTGAGGGCACTGCTATAATCCCACCCACTTTGAAGCGGTACTAACTGCAGTGGAAAAGCAAACCGAGCTAAAGCGAACCGAGCCGTGCCGTGCTGAGCCGAGTCGTACCACAGTGGAAAAGCGAAGCGAACCGAACCGTGCCGCGCCGAACCGTACTGAGCCGTACCAGCAGTGGAAAAGCGCCATTATTGCCTAGTTGTTCAGATGTATTAGAGTTGAGTAAAGTTGCCAATAAATTCACAGATTCGAACTTCCCGGGTCAATTACTCAAGAGCTAAACGTTGTTATACACAAATAACACATAGTTTTAATCGTAGTAACGTAGACAAGCAGCTACAACCTAATTGTCCTCGAAACGTGCTTCCCTTCGCAGTGGACAAAATACATTGATCTCTATGCGCAGACTGAGAGACAGATCTGAAGGGACAGTCTGCAAAGTGCGATAACCCGAAAAGCGTTACTACGAAAACAGTCAATAACTTCACTGTCACACATTATTGTCACCAAATTCAGTTCACACACCACTGCTGTCCTGCTGGTTATACTACAATGCTTATTTTGGAAATAAAATATTTTTGCCTATTTTTTATGATTTTTATTTATTGCAAATATTCAATAACTTCACTGTAATTCCATGTATTTATTTATAACACAACACTACTGTCCTGATGGTTATACAACACTTATTTTGGATAAATATATTTTTGCATCATTTTGATGATTTTTATTTATGAAAAATATTTCTAAATATTTAGTCTAATATTTAGACCAGGGGTTCCCAAACTTTTCCATTCCAGGACCAACGTAGACAAGAATAATCTATCGCAAGACCCACCAAAATAATTTTAAAGCATGAATGTGGGGTGGGAGGCGTTAGTTCTCTTTTGAGCAGTTTTTTCCATGTCATAGTAAGACATTTAAGTTTAATTGCAATACAATCTTATGGTACATTATCAAAAAGTTTGAGAATTAAAATAGCCTAATGGCTGTTGAAATAATTGGAATAATACTGAGTAGTTTTTGTCTGCTGCCTCAACTGATTTACCCAAACATGGCAAAACAAATTAAATTAAGTAAGCTTAATCTTAACCAAAGGTTTGATATGACAAAAAAAATCAGAATATAAAAAAATAATAGACTAAAATTTTTATTTGACAGTATGCCAAGGACCTAGAATTAAACTCATTGTGTTGTTCAGCGCAGAAAATGCTTTCGTGCTTGTGTGTGTATACATTTTAAATACTTTTACATATATACTTTCCTTATGCGTTGGTAGGTATCAAAATGCATGTGAGGGAACACAAAACAACGCACTCTTACGACGACCATATCTCTGAAAGACAACAGCGCGTTGAACAGACGACAGAGATTAATGCGTTTCCCAAAATCATCGTATGCCTAAGTAGATCGTAGAACCATTGCCACCAATGGTCTCTACAATCAACTTAGCTCACAATGTTTCTGGGAAACGCAGCCCAGACCTCAATCAGCCTTTCGTGACATTTGAATTCTCCGGTGTAATGCGATCTCATGCAGAATGCAGTGCAGTGATTGGAGTAAACGAGTTTCTTCTCGTTAATAATGCGCACCAAACTTCTTAATGAACCGAAGCCGCTCTGAGACGGTGAAAGTTATTATCACAACAAGTCGCACGTGCGCGCTTCATGAAACACAATACCGACATATTTATCTAACTTTAAATCGCTCTAAGCAATATAGCGATTTCTATTTAACGTTGGTTCATCGTGCAACCTGTTTGTATGTGTCACTCATGAAACGTAAATTCAGCTGCAGCCAATATAGTGATTGCGCGACACACCTCTTCCCAATCTGCGACCCACAAATGGGTTGGGACCCACAGTTTGAAAACCCCTGGTTTAGACTACTCTTTCTAGTCCGCGGCCTTCGAAGGATGCAGCCTTCACATTGGGACACAGCTCATATTGGCCTCAGCGGAGACCATCAGAACCCTGTCAAATCAAGGGTGTAATCCACCAGCCGGAAACTGAAGTCTCCCCGGGGGCCGCCATTCACAAGCCTTCACCTGCTGTTAGCATTCCATTGACTCCCATTCATTTTGGCGTCACTTTGACAGCGAATAACTTAAACATCTGAGGTGTTTAAAGACTCAATTTGTCCATTGTTTATTTCTAAAGAAACACGACAATGTATAAAAGGCTTCATTATCTTGTATTTTACGTTATGGCCCCATAGAAGCAGTTTTTGTAATGCGTCATAACACGCGACTCTCTGTCGCACAGTAGATAAATTACCGTATAGACAGAAGTAGAAGCTCGGGTGCAATCGGGGGGACGTGGAGGCATAAAGTCAAGGGAGAAGCCCAGAGAGAGTTGTAAAGTTGCTCCTGCTGAGCTCATGGACAGCTAATACTCACGATCTCCGGCTCTGCAAGATTCGGAAGGGAATGATTCAGATTCCTCTTGGCACCGCTACTAGAAGACGTACAACTGTGAGTCAGGTTGCTCACGTCACATCTACGTCGTCAAGCTCAGTTTGAGTCTGCGCAGTGCACTTGGCAATCAGGAAGCCAGTGCTCCTATTTGACTCCACTTTTCTCTGTTGAAGTCTGGGGTCGCTGTGTCCATTTCTTTTACTGTCTATGTGTCAAATGCAGACATCGGTGTAGTGTGATTGGCAGGCGAACGAACGGTCAACTGCGGTCGCTTGCAGTGCACTACTGCCACCAACTGGACTGGAGTGGGGACTTTAACCACCTTCCGTTTCAACTGAAATGCTTGCATACAATATACTGAAATGCTTCTCAGTTATGTAAGTGAGAGCGTTTTAGTTGTGTTTGTAAAATTTCAGTTTTATGTGTGTGAGCATTTCACTTGTATGTGTGTGAGCATTTCAGTATAGTATGTAAATGAATTTGGTTTCATATGCGTATGTGAGAGGAAAAGAACATGTATATGCATGGTAATTCTGAATAATGTACCTAGGGGCACCTCATACTCAGGTGGTGTTTGCATACTTTACCACAGCTGAATTGAAATAAATGCAATATTTGCCAAATACACAGATATTTCAGACACTTTCATTCAATAGTTTATTACTTCATAGGCTATAGCATCTGTTTGAACAAGAATAAAGTTCAAGCCTGTATCAATGAAGTGGAGTCAACGTTTTTTAATCAGTTTTATTTCGATAAACATGACACAATATAACATCGCGACTACATGAAAAGACTGTTTACTGTTATAAAAAACTGATTTGTGAGCTTTAGTGGAACTAAAGGTGTGAGAATAAACACGAAACGCACGTGATCGTTGTCATGCCGTGACTCCAGCGAATCGTGGAACAGCTGTGGCGTCATCAGAGCTCGTGCAGCCGCTCTTGAGAAGCTGAGTTCTCCGGCTACTCTCGAATCGCTCTCGCGGTACTTTGATGGGATACGTCACAGTCATGTGGCGTCGGCGCTGCATCGAGTCGGTCAAAATTTCTAACCGGCATCAGAGAATGTCTAATTGAAGAGAATTGGCACTGTCTGGTTACTTCCGGTTTCTGGACTGGCTGCAGTAACACGTCTCTGTCCATGCGGGGGCGCTCGCAGACGAGTGCAGAATGAATGGGAGTCTATGGGGTTTCACCCCCAGAAATCCACTTTTCTCAGGATGTAATTTTTTGTCAAGTAATTTGAAAGTTGCATTCAAAAGGGAGGGCTAAGATAATACACTCAGCTGAAAACTGCATTTTTAAGTTCACTTATCCGTTCAAAAATGTGATGACGTCACATAATAGCAGAATGCTAGCGTGTTCCGGCCAACAACGGCCTAACCTGTAAGAAATCGAAAGGACATAAGTACTCTTGGTACTTTTGGCCTATAATCTATATTGAACTTGTTGAATCAACAATAAAATCTATGTTGATTCAACGACAAGCAGGAGAAAGAGATACATTTAGCCGTTTAGCCAGAGACTATTTATATAGAGACATGCCACTTACTCAATCCTCAATACAACTATATAGGGAAAACCCGTAACGCCAAAGATGGCGGTTGTCTGCACATGTCCCGCCCCTCCCGCTGGAAAGCCAATCGTCTGCCTTTAACAGTCAAGCCGGGAAACATTTAAGCCTATCGTCTGGTTCCACTGACGCATGTGCACAGTTGAGGTTTGCGACAGTGGAAAATACGTTAGTGTTTGAAAAGGCGGCAGATTTGATATGCAGTGTATGTGTGCGTTGTGTAAATATCAGACATCCCAAGTGTCTACCGCATATTTATAGCGGCTCCCTGATGCCCAAAATTAGTTCAAATCTCCCGGAAACTAGAGCGAGCGAGCGAGAGCTCACACATACTGTGTTTCAAACCGTGCAGCGCGCGCACGTCAGAGGGAGAGAACCCTTGCGCATGCGTAGTAAAGTATAACCTGTGGGGGAAAAGGCGTTTTAAACCTTATTTTGGGGCAAAGTCAACAAACTTTTTCAGCGATTTTTATCATATTTTACTGCTGTTTCTATACAAGCAGTTTTTATGTCCCGGTGACCAGTGAAAGTGCAGTTCTGACTCTCTGCCCATTCATTTAGATAGGAGCCTGGTCTTGTTAGTCCGAAATAGCTGCCCGGAGGCGTTGCCAAGATGGCGGCCGAGTGGCACGACTTGCCTAAAAGGACTTTGGTTTAGCTCCATAGACTCCCATTCATTCTGCACTCGCCCGCGATCACCTCCAGTGGAATTCTAATGGAACTGCAACCAAGATGATACACAATGGGGCTAATAGGAAGTGCCAAGGCTTTCCGTAGACGGGCTTTGCCGGCATGCACTGCTTCAAGTCAGCCACTGATCGGTCTGCGCAGAGCTGTATGAAGTCGAACACACCTTAAAAGTCCTGCCATATGTTTATTCCACCCATGAACTCAGTGAACAAAATTTTGAGGAGGAGTTTTACTTTCTGAACATGGACTTTACACCTCTGCATAGCAATGCCACATCAGAAGTAAAACTAAACCTTCTTATCCCATGAGAGATTACAATGCAAAAGGGAAGAGGAGGAGACAGAACAGAAAGTTATATTGGCTCATGACATCATAACAATTAAAGGGGAAAGCACTCATTTCAATCAGACAGCCACATCAAATATATGTAAATTATTAATTTTGTGTGAATTGTACTTAATGATACATGCATTTAACAGTATAATTTCTATACCTGTTACACTTGTGGAGCCCAGCCAAATGTCTCCACAATGTCAAAAATAACATAATTTCTCCTCTCACTTTCAGAGCTCATGATTGTTCTGGTGGGTAAAACTGGATCAGGAAAGAGTTCAACAGGAAACACCATCCTGGGTCCAGAGAATTATAATAAGCATTTTAAAACAGAAGCTTCCGCAACGTCAATTACTAAAACATGCGAGAGTCAAAAAGCAAAGATTGGCAAAAAGAGGATCTCAGTCATCGACACTCCAGGCCTGTTTGATACTTCAATGCCAGAACAAGAAATGAAGACTGAGATAGTGAAGTGTGTGGAGATGTCTGTTCCTGGTCCTCATGTGTTTCTGCTGGTCATCAGACTGGATGTGAGATTCACAGATGAAGAGAAAAACTCAGTGAAATGGATTCAGGAGAACTTTGGAGAAGAAGCTTCACATTACACCATCGTTCTGTTCACTCACGCTGATGCACTGGAGGGGAAACCATTAGATGACTATATCAGCGAAAGTAATGATCTCAAGGCTTTTGTTAATAAGTGTGATGACAGATATCACTCCTTCAACAATAAATGCATCAATAATAATACAAACAATAAAAACCACAATCAGGTCACTGAACTGCTGAAGAAGATTGACACGATGTTGGAGAAGAATGGAGGACAACACTACACCAATGACATGTATGAAAAAGCCCAGAAAAAAATTCAATGGGAGTCTCGGAAACAAAAATTTAAAGAAATTGGAACAAACGCATTAGCAGTAATAGGAGGGGGAGCAGTAGCAGTAGCAGGAGCAACAGCAGCAGTAGCAGGAGTAACAGCAGTAGGAGGACCAGGAGCGGCACTAGCAGTAGCAGGACAAGCAGCAACAACAGCAGGAACAGTAGTTTTAGGAGCAGCAAAAGCCTTCATGAAACCATAGGGCACTCTAATTAAATTACAAAAAAAGGAATATTCTACTAGTAGATGTGCACTGGAAAAAGTGAACATGCAGTTGTTGCTTTAAGGAGGTATTTCTACCTCATTCTACCTAAAAATTCTAATTTAGTTGTTGTAATCTAGTTCAATCAGGTTAATGTAAAACAAGAGAACACTGTTAGAACCTAAGTGAGTTACATTGACCCAATATGCAATTTCCATTAAAGCTCTGCATGGATACATTTGACACATGCGCACCTGCTGATTAATTAATATTTACTTCAATGAGAAATTGTGATTTTTTTTTTTTTCTTTTTACACATTAAGTAGAATCAAACTATTCAGCACAATGGTAACATACATTAACATCAACTAACATATTTACATTTACTGAATAACACATAAAAAAACACTTAATCCCTAAATTTACTGATCTACGATCAACTTATCTCACAATGCTTTTGAGAAACGCAGCCCTGGGCAGTGGATCTGTTCCCATAAATCTTTGCAATGGATTTGGAGAGTAAATTAATTCATTCAATACTATTAATTCAGCTAGAAACTAAATTAAGAGCTGTTTGTTGTTATCGTCAAGTAAGTAAGCGTAACATATTGTTTTTTAGGGTTGTGTTATATATCGTGGTGGAAAATCATATATACCAAAAGTTTATATCAAAGATAGCAAATAATTTTTCCTAGCTGACTATATCAGATTATATCCACTGACAATTAAGATTCAGTAAAACCTTGTTTTTCAGGATGGTTGAATTCAGTTATAATCAGTAATCTTAAATGATATCTTTAACTTGAACAAACCCAGTCAGTGAGTCAGTCCTAGAGCTCCTTCTGTCTGATTTTAGGGGAAAATCGAGTCCATCGGAGACATCCAATAGATTTCTTAGGCGCCAAAAGTACACCACACACTGACCACTATGGGAAAATCTCAGAGTAAAACTGCGAATTGTGAAAAATATGATACACTGGTGTTTTACCAGATGAGAAGTTTATCTATGTATAATCTTTTTACTCTTTTAATTAATTTTATAACTGTATCATATATCTCTTTTATTTCCTTTTACAACTGTTTTTAATTTTCCTTGCTTTTAATTTGGGATTATTTTAATTCATTTCTGTAAAGCACTTTGAATTGTGTATGAAATGTGCTATATAAATAAACTTGTCTTGCCTAAAAAATGGCTTTGGCTAGTACCTCCTATTTTTATTTTTTATTTTTTTTTGCTTCATAATGACTTTTCCTAATTTAATGGGGACAACTCTGTAAACATAAAATTAACCTGCTGATATTTTTTCAATGTCCTGTACACATTTTGTAGCATCGGTGTTCCTTGGGGTCAATTTGACCCCATGGCTCTTTTAACTGTATAAAACAGAAGAAATATTAAAATGTGACACACATTTGTTTTGGTTGTTTTATTGAGGTCACTATAACATGTTACAATTTTATAATTTTCATTATAATTTTACATATTCAATATTATATTCAAAAAACAAAAGCTCTAACCTAACATAACCATTCACAGCAAAATCCCCAGTGTTAAAATTAACACTCCTGGTGTACATATCAGGCTTGTGCACAATTCAAAATTTAATTGAGAATTACTCCTGAATTCCAATTCAATTCTTGAATTTGAATTGAATTTGAATTGATGTCAAAAACAGGATCTAGAATTACAATTCGAATTTGAATTAAAGGAAGCAGAATTGCAATTAAAAACAAATTCTAAGAAATTCAGATATTTTAAGTGAAGTGTTTAACAATGAAGCTTTAGGCCCCTATATGTCAGATATGATTGCAATTCTATAAATGATATTAGTTTGAACTACTTGTACAGATTACATTGACAGGAAATATTTTCCCTCATCAATGAATGTTAAAAGCTCTAGTCACAGAACAAATAATTAAGTTTGATTTATCGTAATTGTAATTTTGTGGAACATAGAACATGACTCCATTTCCCATAATTACTTTAGTAAATCTTTAGAAAAACGTATGCAGGGTTCCCACTGAAGAAAATGATGTCCAAAAGACGTCTTTTCAAAGTCTTTGTCACAAAAGTCGGACGTTGAAAAGACGTCCACTGAGGAGCCAGAATGAAAGTTTTTATGACGTCTTTTTTTGACGTGTTCTGCACGTCCGATCTAGACGTTCATGGACCCTCTTCGGACAATGTTAAAAACAAAAACTAAACACTCTCAGGATGCATTAAATTAAAACTAATGTTTTTTTCAATGTAATTGCAAAGCAACTCACAGACAGTTTGTGTTTGTCAGACATCTACAGAAGATCTTAGTGAAAATTAACAGAGGTTTAGATGTTGATATTTAGTTTTTTACAAGTAAAAAATAATATAAAATAATATATTAATTCTATAAAAAAATTTTTTTTTTACATTTTCGTTTTTCGAAGTAAATTACATTTACTTCGTTACTGTCCACCACTGGTCCAGCTAATGTTGTTAAACTTTCATCTGTGTGTGTAGAAACACTCTCTTTGTTTTCACATGTGGGAGTAAATCAGCATCTGAGCGACGGACAACATCATCTCATCATTATGTGAACACACACATAAATACGGCATGCACTTATGCAAGCGCACACACTGTTTTATGGTGTAGGATCTAACCGTATCTCCTAGATCATTAGCACCTTCTACCTTATTTTGTTTATAATCTCAGGTAAGGTAAAGTACACTAAAAAAAATAACTCTTTGAATGAACATAAAAAAATCATGGAAAGGATTTCCACATGATTAACTTGCTTTATTTCAGCATTATGCAATTCTGTTATTCCAATTTAATGTACTTACGTTGGGTCAACTTAATGTATTCAGGTTGATTCAACTTATTTACCATGGTTGGGCACAGCTTAATTTAATATTGTCAGCAAATTTAAAAAGGCTCCCTGATATGATTCAGGTATTCAAATTCATATATTCATTCATCCAATGCAATATAATTTATTTTAGTGTCACACTAATACATTTCAAGACTATAGCCAACTGTTGCCTATCAATAGTGCTTTTACCAACATCTTAAATGATAAGATTTACATGCTTTATCAATCTAAGCATTTGCTGTGAGTAGTATTGCTGAATCAGTTTTCAGCCTAACCAAATGCTCCACTCTTCTCCACAATGATAACCACTGTAATTTAAATGGTACTAATAATTGCAATGTAATTGAACATTAAACACAATTACGCACTATCAAGTCTTCCCCTTTTCTCATTTTCTCAAAAACACATAAAATAACACTTCATTTTAACATTTATTCTCTCTTAATTCAACCATATGCAAAGCATGCTGGGAACTAGCAAGCACCGCCCAGTTTCAGTTAATGCAACACAAATCAATCATGTAATCCAACACAAGCGGATTAAGTAAATTTAAATGTTACATATTTAAGCAGATTGAACACAATCAAATTAAGTTCGGGCAAAATGGCAGTTGGCTCGCACTATACTGCCACCTTCTGGATGTAAGAATTTTTTACTTAACATAAATGGTTTGTGTTTAGGCAACACGTTAAGATTTTGTACTGTTATGTTGAGACATAATTACGTGGACCTTAATAGAAAAAAACATTTCAAGTCAAAAAACACAATAATTATAAGTAAACTAAATATAAATATATTATGTAAAGTGCAAACCTTCCTCGTTCATTTTTTTTGAGTGTATAGGTCGAATTCTATAGGTTACCTTAGAGATGATGAACCAGCACAGGACTAAACACAAGGAGAACAAATAGGGAAGCAAACAAAAGAGGGTAACGAGGGAGGACAGATGGGGCAAATGGATGAATAATCAGCTAGCAAGATGGACAAAGTTAGACAATCGACACTCACACCAATAACGTTTTAACTAAACTATTTTTCATGTCAAATAATGATCTTTTAACATAAACAATAAAATATTCCTATTTCACTTTTTTTTAGGTTTTAAGGCAATCGGTTTGCATGCTTTTTAAAAGTAAGTCTAACTGATTAGATTTAACAGGAGGAGGGCGTTCTAACCATAGATATAATAGAGAGTAGACGCCCTATCGACCACTACTGCCTACTGGCGCGGACGAGCCGTGGGGCCGCCATCTTAGACCGGTCACCCGCTCCACTCAGTGTAATCTGTTCGGCAGGTGCAATGAGCTGTCAGCGCATTTAATGAATCATATCTCACTGAATACCGAACTGATTTTCACGCGGGGTTATTTTGCTGCAAAGGTCATACATGTAGCTATGATATAGGACACATTGAATATTTAATTCACAAAATACAACCAATAGTACGGTAATGTTAAATTTTACTTGTGAAAAGTAATCCCCCTAGCCCTATTTGCGATGGTCCGCCGATTTGAGCAGGGATATGCTGCACAGTGCTCTGGCATCTTAACTGCTGCTATGCAATGCAACTAGGAGTATAACCAGTTAAAGATGGCGGCCACATTTCTTGCGCCCAGCGGCCAATAGGGGTCTATCATTTTATGTCTATAGTTCTAACAAGGTCTATAGTGCGCCTCGAGGTCAGAGTGGTGAGGTTTACTGCACAGCCTAAGCAGCTGACCTCAGTTCCTCTACAACCAACCACCCATCACTAAATAGATTCAGTAACACAGGTTTTGGTGGTATTGATGTAATGATCTTTCCAGTGCACCATCTTGATCTTACAACTATCGTGTGCAGGAATTCCTAAAAAGCCAGTTGGGAAAAGCCTGATAAAGCAACAGTGATACTGATAATCACAAAGCTTAAAGGTTGTATCAGTGATTTCAGGCCCAAAAATAAATGTCTAATCTTTCCTAACGATCCGCTAGCTGCCCGCCCCATAAGCATGCCATCCAAAAACCGCGTCTCTGTAGGCAGCGTAGGCTCTGAGATCTGCACACAAAAACAAATGTGTACAACCACCACTCAAAACCAAAATAAAGTGTTCCAACCAATCACTGACAGGGGCGGGTGTTGTGAGGTTTTGCGCTCGTGCACGGCTGGACG